TTAGTGCAAAATAAAAAAAGAATGAAAAATATCTAAGAATTTTATTGGTTACATGTTGAAATGAATGTTTTGGATCTATTGGGTTAAGTAAAATACATATTATTAAAAGTAATTTCTCCTGGATTTATTTTGTTCGAATGTGGATCCTAGAAACATTATATTTCTTACGTAGCTCGCATTTAATTTCTACCGGAAATGGCTGGTATAGAGCGAATAACTTTACAGGAAAAATAGGAAAAAAAAAATATTGAGACTATGGACAACTAAGAATATCAGAGGATTTGAGGCACAACAAATAAAAATTTCGATTTCTTAACCAATCCGGTTACCAGTTGGGTGGGCCTGGTCTCCTTTTGTCCAATCAGCTTCTGACTCTCAGTATAAATAATGCGGCCAGCTTTCATTTCCTACACGAATCCAACGTTCAGACGATGGCTCGCACCAAGCAGACAGCTCGCAAGTCCACCGGCGGCAAGGCGCCCCGCAAGCAGCTGGCTACCAAGGCGGCCCGCAAGAGCGCGCCGGCCACCGGCGGCGTGAAGAAGCCCCACCGCTACCGGCCCGGCACGGTGGCGCTGCGCGAGATCCGCCGCTACCAGAAGTCCACCGAGCTGCTGATCCGCAAGCTGCCCTTCCAGCGCCTGGTGCGCGAGATCGCGCAGGACTTCAAGACCGACCTGCGCTTCCAGAGCTCGGCCGTGATGGCGCTGCAGGAGGCGTGCGAGGCCTACCTGGTGGGGCTCTTCGAGGACACCAACCTTTGCGCCATCCACGCCAAGCGTGTCACCATCATGCCCAAGGACATCCAACTCGCGCGCCGCATCCGCGGCGAAAGGGCCTAAGACTCAAGGTCTCCCACTCATCTCCAAAGGCTCTTTTCAGAGCCACCCACATATACCCTGAAAAGGACTGTTTCCCTGTAACCCTTAATGGTATTAGTTTTATCTGTGACAAGATAGTCTCCATTTCCAGGCACTTTACAATCTTGCTTTCTAGAGACTGAAGATTGTTCTCCAGTGGAGACTATCGGGCAGAAGTTCCTTACAAGTGCTTTTTTTTTTCTTTCTCTCAGCTGTCTTGACAGGTTAGTGCCCCAGTTTACACTACCTTCCAACTGTGGCTGTGGTGGTGTACAACAACGCTTTCCCCCTGGTAAAACAAAAAAAAAAATTTTTTTTTAAGATTTTATTTTCTTTCCCCCCAAAGCCCCAGTAGATAGATGTATGTCATAGCTGCACATCCTTCTAGTTGCTGTATGTGGGACGCGGCCTCAGCATGGCCGGAGAAGCGGTGCCTCGGTGCGCGCCCGGGATCCGAACCGGGGCGCCAGCAGCGGAGCGCGCACACTTAACCGCTAAGCAACGGGGCTGGCCCAAAACAAAAATATTTTTAATCTAAGCATTCAAGTAGAATTTACCTACAAATACATTTTTTTAACAGTTACATAACTAGTGCAACTGTCAAACTATTCGATCATAATCAGGCTCATTACATTCCGGTGAATGGGTTCACGGGCAGTAGAATCTACGATTTCCACATACGGAATTCAGGATAATGCTAATATGTTAGCAGTTTAAAATGTTCTAATATGTTCTATTTGAATCAACACCTTAAGCAAAATAAAGCATTGAGTGTCCGCTCTCAGTAATCAGCCTTCCTCTGGAAAGGAAGATTCAATATTTGGAAGGAAGTACTGTCCTCCCTGGCACCCCCTCCTTGGGGGCCTTGCTGATCCAATCTAAGGCCAATTTCTAAACAGATTGATATTCTTGAGTGTGTATGCGGTGCCTTCTTTCCTTCCGGGTTGGGAAACTAAGGTATTAGTAAGTCAGGAAGGGTCCACAACAGAGATGGCCCTTTCTACACTTATCAATACTTCTGCTGGCTGGGTAGGGCACTCTCTCCTGGAGATATGCAGTCAATATACTTCTCCAAATTAATCTTTCAGCTCTGATTATGTGAATTACTCAAGGGCAGTGAGTAGTTCTAGTTATGTGCACATTCCTAAGTATGTGGATACGGATACTTCATGTCTCTCAAAACATTCCATGGGCTAAACTGATGGTCTGGTAGCCTTCTACCTAGGCTCTTTCTGGGCTTTCAACATGCTCTCATCACCCCATACAAGGAATTGAATTTTACTATAGTAATGGCACACAAAAAAGAATGCTCAATGACACTGGACCATTTTGGCTCATGCTAGTGGGTAGATGATGATACCAAGTAACGAAAGAAGATATGATTTTGAGTTTCCTGGAGATATACAAGAATTTCAGAAAGTAGATGAATATGAATGTATGAACTCAGGAGACAAGTCTGGGATGGATGTAAAGATTTGGGAGTTATTAGCATATAAAAGGTATTTAAAATCAAGGGAGAGGCCTGCAGATCCCTTCTGGCACTTTCCTATCTCTTGTAACCTCTTCCTTATTGCCAATATCCACCTTCTTGTCATTTGCCTGCACATGTCACAAGTCATGAGTCTGGTGATGCTCATTCTTTGCTGGAATCCCTACACTTTGCTCTAATTCCCCAATCTCTTTAATTCTCAGATGAGACGTTACCTCTCACAGATCTTACTTCTCTATGCTCCCCTAATATCCTGTGCTTACTTCTCTTGCTACATTGTGCTTTAGTTGTTTGCTTTTGTGTATTTCTCCTATTTGATTGAGTTTCTTTAGGATAGGCAGTGTCTTTTTAACATTGTATCCTTAATGCATGGACCCTAAGTGTGAAGTAAATATTTGTGGAAAGCTTAAGTACATTAGAATCTAAGGGGAAACAAAAGAAGTAGTTTTTGTGCCTGGTTTGGCGTGGCAAACTGGTAAGTGGCATAAATGTTTGAATCCTTCCCTAGGCCTAGAATAAAAGGAACTTGCTATGCCCATATAGAAATATGGACAGCATACCAGAATCTTTGATATCACGATTCTCAAAATAGCTTTTGGTATTTTCAGAAGAGGCATCCATATTTTTTCAAACTATAGGTATCATTAGTGCTTCTGGAATCAATTTAATAGCATCCAGTACCACTGTTGTTACAACCAAACTTGGACTACTAAACTTTAACATCTACTCATTTGGCAGTATGGTAATATACATAGTCAGGTAGGATATAAATATAAATTATATTCAAAGACTTTCAGTAAGCATATTGAAAACAAATCCTTCAAAGTTTTAAAAAAGATTTACTGTCTTCCTACTGACACCCCAATGGGTTTCTGTGCATCATTTATGGAAACCACCCCTGTGTACAAGAGATGCTTGTCACCTACAGCTAACTCCAGACATGAACCGAGGTAATTATCCTTCAATTTGTTGATCTTGCTGATTCAACTTAATGTATTTTAAGTCCTACTCGTAACACAAATGCCAATTTACTTTGTTGGCAAAATTCCTAACTACCAGTTCTGTAATGTGGACAAAGAGATTAAAGAAGCTAGGACTAACTGAAGCTTAACTAGTAAGTGTAAGTGTCACGTAGCAAGTTGTACTGAACAATTAACAACTGAAAACACAAGTGTCACCTTTTTTATGACCATGTAAGTGGCTCTGAAAAGAGCCTTTTGTGTAGTTGTTTCCAATCTTGCTCTTTACTTGGCCTTATGATGACTCTCGGTCTTCTTGGGGAGCAGCACAGCCTGGATGTTGGGCAGGACGCCGCCCTGCGCGATGGTGACTTTGCCCAGCAGCTTGTTGAGCTCCTCGTCGTTGCGGATGGCCAGCTGCAGGTGGCGCGGGATGATGCGCGTCTTCTTGTTGTCGCGGGCCGCGTTGCCCGCCAGCTCCAGGATCTCGGCCGTCAGGTACTCCAGCACCGCCGCCAGGTACACCGGCGCGCCGGCCCCGACCCGCTCGGCATAGTTGCCCTTGCGGAGCAGGCGGTGCACTCGGCCCACGGGGAACTGCAGCCCGGCCCGCGAAGAGCGGGTCTTGGCCTTGGCGCGAGC